CTTTTGCCTAGAGATAGTTACTCCTCAGCTGACACTGGCAGGTATTGCACTATCTTCTGTGATTTTCCTAACCCAAACCTGTATGAAGTTAGTTGTAAAGAAAACTGCCTTGAATTATGCTGAGTGTTCTCTTTTAAGTCTCTGACAGCATCTATCCAAATCCTATCACAACTATAGTTTGTTTTAGGACCAGTGCCATTGACATCACAGATGTGACAAGGATGCTCATTATCACTACTTGAGTTCAACATTGCAAGGGACATTCTTTCCATGCAAAAGTCAAGAAAACTAGTCCAAGGAATAAGGGAAGAAAGAAAAAATATTCTTATTTATAAGAGATATTGTCTACATAGAAAGTCAAGAAGAATCTGTAGACAAATAGAATTTCTAAGGTTTTTCAATAAAGTTGAAAATTCATTGTACAAATATCATCAGTTTTCTTGTTCACCAATAAATAATCACTTACAAGTCATTTATAACAGGAGGGGAAAACCCTACAGAATATATTGATGTCCATTTGTAAGTGTTAATGTGGCTAGGCCAGTCTCCAGTTATTTCAACACTCATCTAGGGGTTGCTGTGAAATTCTTTGGTAACTGTGGTTAAAGTCCATACTCCATTGACTTTAAGTAAGGAAGATTATTTTAAATAATCTGGGTGAGCCTGATTCAATTGGTTGAAAGGCCTGCAGAGCAGAGTTGAGGCTCCATGAAGAAGAGGAAATGCTACTTGTGGAGTGGCTTCAGCTCAGGCCCTGCTGCCCCAGCTGCCCTTCCTGATGGCCTGCCTTGTGGATTTCAGACTTGCTTTGCCAGCCTTCACAGTCATCGGAGCTTACTTCCTGCACTAAGTCTCTTAATATATAGCTCCGTCTGCTCATTCTGTCTCTTTCGTTGAACCCTGATTGATAAAGGTCCTGATAAATAAACATTAAAAAATTACACAAGACCCCTGTGGAAAAATGATGAAATATTATTGAAAGATCTGAAAGGCAATATAAGTCAATGGGGATGTCTGCCATGTTCATGATTTAGAAGACTCAGTATTGTAAATTTGGTTAATTTTCCTCAAGTTCCCCCATCGATGCATTCCAATCAGAAGAATGACTGAAGACAGAGTTTTTTGTGGCACTTGCCAAGAAGTTCCAAACTTTATATGAAAGGACTATGAATAGCAAAGGCAATTCTGAAGAAGAACAAAGTGAGGAGACTTTCCACACTGGATATTAAAATTCAGTTTAAAGTTACACAGTTAAGACAGCGTAGAATTCTTGTGGAGACACCGAGCAACCAAGGCAACAGAAGACAAGAGTCCAGAAACAGACTCATGAAGCTCTGGAAATTGTGCATTTGACAGAAATAACATTTCAAATAAATGGTCAAAGAATGGCTGACTCCCTAAAGAGTACAGGGACAACAGATTAAGCAAATGGACAGAAAGTAAAACTAGATTCCAACTTCACACCTGCACACAAATGAATTTCAGATCAATTAAGACCTAAACGTGAAAGTTAAATATTACATTTTTTAGAAATAAAGAATACTGTTATGAACTTGGAGAAGATAAAAATTAGTCAGAATACAAGAAACACACAACATAAAGATTAAGACTGAGACATCTGACATTAAAACAGGAATCTGTGTGTACACACGCACATCACACACATGTGCCACATGAGAAGGCAAACCGTGGGTGAAGAGATTTGCAACAGATATTACTAACAAAACACCAGGTTTAATATATGTAAAGAACTCTTACAAATCACAAAGAAAAAGATAATAGAAAATGGGCAAAGGACTAGAAAAAATAAAGGGCATAAGTTTGTGACAAATTATCTAATACTGAAAACAATCTAACAAAACCACCAGGGCAGAACCAGCTTCTTTATCTTTCATCAGCAGTCTTTATGCTCACCTTTCCCTCCTCTCTATTCAGTCATTCAACATGCATTCAACACATGCTTACCCATCACCTGTGATGTGCCATGTACTGTTGTAGACACTTGCATTCATTAGTGAAGACAACAGACAGAGATCCCTGCTTCTGTGAAGATTATATTCTTGCACTAGGGTTGGGGAGAGGGTGGGGAGGTATTGAAGAAAATACATGATGGAAATAACAGATAAGTACATTGCTTGCTATGTTCAATGAAAAGAAGTGTTCTACGGCGAGTGGGGGGAAATACTGAATGGTCAGTGCAATTGGGAGAGCCAGGGTGAGGGTTGCAATTGTCAGTGGGTTGTCAGGATAAGCCTTTCCAGAGAAGGTGAAGTTTGAGAAAATATTTGGAGATGAGGGAGTCATCCAAGATCACCTGAGGAAACATCATGTAGTGCGGTGGTTGGGGAAAACATCTCCTCCTTAGGCTGGACCTGAGATGGCTGACTGAGAAGGTGAATTGGGCCAGAAGGGACAGTGATGGTCAACTCTTCAACTGGGATAGGCATATTTGCATCAGAGTTCCCTGGAGGGGGCTCTCAGATTTCAGCTGCTCCAAGCTAGAGAGAACCCTAGTTCATGACCTGCTCTTCACTTGAGGAGTAGATGGTCAGCAAGTACAGAATGCCAAATACACAGCTCAAGTTATTTAAGTGCAATTAGACTTGGTTTAATAATTTAAAATACTTTAACATTTTTCTCTGGCAGAGATTAGGCTATTCATTAGCATGTCATGGGAACCCAGCATTTATTATTCTCTCAAAAACCCATTTGCAATGGCAAATGTGCTGAGCCTCATTTGTAAAGATAATTAGAGTTGATATCCTTCAGATATCTGCCAAGTTCCCAGTGATTTCCCTCTTCTCAGGGAGCTGCTTTCAGAATCTAAAGTGGAAGGCTTTGCTACCCACGTTTCTACTGCATGAGCATATTCTCTGGTCACAGCTCATTGGGCCAAAATTAGAATCATGAGCATAGCTGAGCCAATAAGATTTCTTCTCCTAGAAATTTGGAATTGGAGCCAACAGAGCCAGGCCACTCTGTTTGACTAGAACTCTAAGATGCAAATTAATGGTTATATTTCACCATTGGTCTTGAAGAGCAGAGAAAGTTGATTTGCAGGGAGAGAGTAAAGCAAATGTATGAAGAAAAGCTTAGGGGAGACACATAGAGAGTTCTGCCTTTCAAGTTCCAGGGCACAGCCCTTCCCTCAAGTTCAGGGGCCTCCCAGCTCTTGGGCTCAACAAAACACTCCTCTATCCTTGTAATTCATCACATTGGTTGTTTTGGCTAGTCACTTGGGCTTCCAATACAGTGATGCTACAGGTCTGTAGTAGGAAGTGTGCTTTGATGTTCTCATTCATACCTCTGTTCATTGTCACAAAATTTTGTGGGGTACATATTAGGGTGTTAGTAAATGAATATATAAGACTGAATAAAACATACTCTTTGTGCTCATATAACTTGTTTGTCTTGATTCTTCTTTTTTAAGGTGGTTGGTTAGGTTGTGGGGGTATAGTCTTTGAAACACCAGAGTTCTTTTTGAGTTTGATGGACTGACTCTTTTAACTTATTTAGGGTTGGTAGATATAAAAAGTACTTTGTATACCATAGACAGCTACACATTTATTTTTCACTGGTTATAGTAATATCTTCTATGTGAGATATTCAACTTAGAGTCTCTGCAGTAACATATGTTAAACACACTCCTTTGAAAGGGTATATTTGATTTAGGAATAAGTCATAAGTTTTAAAACTGTTCAATTTATCTAGAGATATGCTTAAAAATTAAAATCACTTTATTTTCATTAAACAATATTTTGAGATTTCTGATATTTTTGGGAAAAGGTGCTTTTTGTGATCAAAGGATATATAGCTACAGCAATAATAATTGTGAGCTTCTGGAGAAAACAGGTAAAATAAAAACCAAAATAATGAAACAAAAATAATGCCTCGCAATGAACTCAGATACACCTGGGATTGGTCTAGTCATCTGGGTGAACTATGTAGCAGGTGGGATTTGGCTCCATTTTTTGAAATGTCAGTGGTAGATCCTGCTCACAAGAGAGGCCCCAGCCTTCCTTTTAGCTGGTGCTCATTTTCAAGGACCCACTCATATCTCTTTCCCCTTCTAGGATAAGAGTTCTTAGAATTTGCAGTTCTCTAGAGAAAATGCATTAAATATTTATTAAGGTGAGTGCATTTAAAATTCTTGCTCTGCTGCCTTGCAATCTAATGTCCTCAATTTCAACAACCAGTGAACACTTAGAACAAGAAAAGGTTAGGGACAGAGGGCCATAGAGATCATCTATGCCCAGCTAAGAGCATGGGATTTGGAGAACTGGCTGATATCTGGCCTCTGTTGTCCTTGCTTACTCTCTGAACCACACGGAGAAAGCAAAGATGATACATCCTTTCTCACAGAGGGGTATAAGGATTAAAGAAATAACATAGATCAAGTTATCTGGAGTGTATCTGAGCTGTAATAGGCAGCAATTAAAAACTAGTAGTTGCTGTTATTGTTTATTACAAGTGATTTCCCATAGTCATCCAACTAATCAGTGCAAGCTCAGGTTTTTCGAATCCCATCATGGCTATGTCTTTGGTACTATACTATACTTCCTTCTTTTAGTGGTAGCCTTGAAAGTGAAATCATTACACTCGGAAACTTAAAGAAAGATGGTCTCACCCTGGCTGGTATGGCTCAGTGGATTGAGTGCTGGCCAGTGAACCAAAGGGTCACTGGTTCAATTCCCAGTCAGCACATATGCCAGGGTTGCAGACCAGGTCCCCAGTAGGGGGCACATGAGAGGCAACCACACATTGAGGTTTCTCTCCCTTTCTTTCTCCCTTCCCCTCTCTAAAAATAATGAATAAATAAAATATTTTTTTAAATTTACAGATTAAAAAAAAAGAAAGATGGTCTTTTCATTGACAACATTCTTTCTAACATTATTCTCATTCTCATTTGCTTGGTACTTGTCAGGGTCCCTTTCTATGATTATTGTTAAAAAGGGATGTTACCATTAAATTCCTTATGAAGCCCTTTAAATTCATCTTACTTGAAGTCTCCGGGGTGGATGCCTTTTAATAATACTTGTTTCTGTCTGTTCCAGTGGGATGTCAAAATACAGGGCCCTGGGCACTTGAAGAATTGGGGGAGAAGCAAAAAAAGACCATTAGAAACAATTTACTATTAAAGTAGGCTGATCATGTGTTTTTAGACTTTGTTAGCACAATTTTGCACCTTCTTTGTTAAATATGTCTAACCTATGGGTGGAATGTGGAGGTGAAACATCTCAAGTGGGACCCCTACCTGCAGAATTGACAAAATATTAGCCTAGATACAGGATTGAATCTCTCCTTTCCTCACTTTCTCTCCAGATTGATATTTAGAGGAAGCACTGCACAATGAAAAATGTATTGATGACAAAGTTTATTCAAACACAGAATTTGGCAGGTAAAATAGAAACTTATTGATTTATTTTCATTTCCTGAAAATGCCCCAACATAATAGAGTAAATCAGGAAAATATAGCATTAAGAAATGAAAATAATCCCTTTTAAGATTAAATAGATAGATAAATAGATAGGTGTTAGAGAGGTGATAAAGAAATGGAGCATGAGTGTATCATAGGTGTATGCAGTGCTGAGCATGGTATGTTCCTAATTAAATAGTCTCCTTAACTGGGGAAAGCCATCCCCACAAGTCGCCACTATAATGCAACATGTCAGTATTCTCTCCTGATAAAATAATGCAGGGCTAAGCTGTGTTAGGAAACAGAGAGGCTCAAGAGATCTATCATGAATTTGATTTTTAGCTTGATTATCCTGGGCCCTGGGACTACTACCATGACCAGCAGTGCATGAATGAAGTTCTTAGTTAATTGCACTTCCAATACAGAGAGAGAGTCCTTTCCTCTCAACAAACTGGAAGCATTCTGATTTCTAGATTCTTGTGTAGACTATCCTGCAGTTCTACTTTGCATTTACAATGGAAAAAATTCCTAGGTTACAACGTGTTTCTCTCCTTAAGACATTTGAATGATCACCTTAAGAACTTTGCTATGTCCTTCTTTTCTTTCAAGAGATGCCAGCATAGTTAGGGAAACAGAAATGACAGTAAAGGCAATGAAAAACATGTGGGGTTTAAAAATCCAAATAGTTTTGGCAAAATTTTCTCTAGTAGCCTGAGTACTCTGTAACTATGTATTATGATTTTAGTGATATCACCCCATTATTTGATTCTCCTGAAATGGCATAGGCCACATCAGGTAGTTATTTTCACCCCTGGTTTGTGGTTGAAGAAAACTGAGGAAGTAAATTGCCCAAAGTCATACTATTTGGTATTTGGTGGAGATGGATTTAGAATATTGGCCCCTTGAAAACGGTGGTCAAAATGCTCACCATCTCCTAGTTATTTATTTTTAATGTGATTTTCACTTCAAAACTAAGAACATTTTCCAGTTGGGACTCAAATCCATTAGAATCAGCTTTTACTATCCAGATACCAAAATCTTAACACTCTGAATAAAGGGTTTACATTAAAAAAGAAAAAAAAAGAATTCTTCAGTAAAATTAAGATGAAAATTCCCACTCCTGTCCTTAGAAAGTTGAAGAACAAAAGAACATAGGTTATAGAACCAATAAAAGGTTGTCAGTTACAGAAAGTAGCCATTCTAGGTGAGATTTTCTAGTTACTGAAATAGAATGTAAGGCTTCTGGCCAAACTGACCAATAATGGGAACTTGTTTGTGTCATTGATCCAGAACATGAAAAGAGAAAATTACATACATCTACAGGCATGTTTACACTGTGTCTGTGTACTATTCTTCCCAAGTAAGAATGTCTGTTTAATTACCATTGTGGTTGTCATAAGCACTTTACATAAGCATTTTATGTAAAATATCCCAGGATAATTTACAGCCATTTCAGGCTCAGAGATTTCTATCATAATTGGAAAAAATTCTCTTAGTTCTTCAAATAACCATGAAAAACATGGAGATTGAGAGAGGGTGACTCACCCACTCATCTGTACTGTGATAAATCAATTCCGTTTGGGGCGCTTTCCAAGTTCACTTAGAATGAACTCCTACAGTGTGGCTTTCACAACAACAAAGCCTGATGCATTACACAGTACTGGAGAGAATGATTTAAATTTAGAATCTAACTGAAACATATGATCATTACAATTTATCACACCTTTATCTAAATAATTTTAATTGTCTGACAAAGCTACTTATAAACCTTGAAAGCACTATAAACTAAGCTAAAACAAAATGATTTCTTTCTTCTCACGTGAAATGCTGAAAAGCCCTTTATGCAGTTTACATACTCACACTAATACACCCAGAATATTTACAGCTGACAAACCTTCAATCTCTCATCAAAAGGTATTCCCTTACATTTCAGTACTTTAGGAATTTTCTGAGATTACAGGGCAAGGCAGGTAAAGCTATCAATAGCTCTCTTGACACAAATACATGAATCTCATGCTGGGTTTTATGTTTACCTGCGGAATATCTCCCATACCAGGTCTCTCGCAGAGGTGGCAGCTGCCCTTCCAACGCTGGGTTCTGGTCCTGCAGTCTTGCCAAGAAATGTGCACTCTTTTCATCCAGGTTCTGATCCAATGCAAAGTCCACAGGTGCAGCTGAAGGCATTTCTTCCTCCTTGTTTTGCAGAGGGGCTACTTTGGTCACTCTAGGGTGAGCCTTTGAGGGGCTCAGGCCCATTTTACATGAAAAACAGTCAAAAGAAAAACAAGAGGGAAGTGGTGTGGGACCTTTAGTGCGGGCTGTTTTAATCAAAGTATTTCAAAAGTTGACCTATCCCTGTTTTACAAAGCAGTTGTTTCCTTCCTGACATCTTTGTAGGTCTGCTTCACCACACACTAGCCCCTCTGGCCACTTCCTGGGAGGCTGGTTTCCATGGAGACTTCCCTCCAACTCCCACTTTGCCATTTCAGACTGAGAAAATCCAGTTAAACATTGACTTGGTTATGCTACTTTCTGGAAGACTCAGTGGTAGGAATAGGACTCTCTATTGATCATTAAACAAATCTCTAACACCAGGAAGGCCATTACGGGTGACGGGGAGCAGATGTTTAGAGAAGTCTTAAACTTGACCCTTTCATTGCAGGTACCTTGAAGCTCCACCTGTAACAAAACTACCAACTAAGAATAGCTAAATTACCACTGGACTTAAGGGGATGCGTGCTAACCATTTAGGGTTTTGTTAATCTTTAATTTTAATTGAAAAATTTATCTTCAAATAGGTAAGAAAACAGAAGACTGGTTAAAATAATTTGGTTTTTCTGTCAATGACTTGAATTGCCTTTGAAGGAGATAAATACATTACAGGAGCACAGGAAGATAATAGGAATTTTTCCTAAAGACCAGAGGACAAACTTCTTGAATAAATGGTTCAAGTAAACCTTGAGTGTTAAAAAATAGTCTGTTTACTATGCTTTTAAAAATAAGGCGGGGGGAAGCACTTGAAAGAAATGTGCTAAAATATTGAGTGGGGGGTTTGAATGATGAAATTATGGGTGATTATTATTTTATTTTTTATGCTTAGAAACATACTCACCTTCAAGTTCTAATTGTTCATGGACATAGAGGACATGTTTTTATCACATCCCTGAAGAGAAGTTCATTTTTGAAAATTTTATTACTAAGAGTCTAACATGGGTTTGGAAAATCTTGATAACCAATAGAGTTCATTTAAAAAGATGTTAGAGTTTCATTTTTTTCCCCATTTAACTCCCTTTTTATTTTACAACAATGTTATCTGTGGCAAAGAGCCTTGTCAGAAAGAATCATATATTAACAGTATTTGAATACTATTTAGTCAGGTTTATTTTTGGATACAATCAGTTTACATATTTCTAAGGTCAAGGAAAAGCATTGCAAACTAACAGATGAACGAGGAATGATATGGGGAACTGTGGACTTTGTGCATCTAGACCAGTGAGAGGAATTCAACTCTCATATTTTGCTTTACTATTGTCTAATTTTGAGAGACTATATGTGGGGAGAGTATCAGCCTGTGCAGAGGACATCGGTTAGTTGTAGAGGAAATTATTTTTAAAATGGAGATTCACATTATGTTCATTCCCATTTTTATTATTAGCCACCGCCATGCTTTGTAACTTGCAAAGACTTAACTACTCAGCGCCTCAATTTCCTCATCTTTATAATGGGGTTAACACCTATGAATGGCAACAAACTGATTCCATTTATAGCTCTTAGAATAATATCTGACATACGATAAGCTCAGAGTAAACTTTAGCCATCATTCTCCTCCGGAGGGGGTATTGCTACATGTCTACATGCAGTGGGATAGTCCCTGTTTCCCACTGGTCAGAGTCCATTAAGTTAGACATATTCCTTACAAAAGAGTTTATACCTACGTATCGAAAAGACCAGTGAAGAAAGGGTAAATTAGTTGTGTCTATTTAACAACAGCACTTGTGGACTAGCATTTAAAAAGTGCTCATGTGTTGGAAGAATTTTTGTTAAAATAATGATAAAAAATAATTTCAGGCCCTGAGCTGGTGTAGCTCAGTGGATTGAGCGCAGAACCAAAAGATTGCGGTTTGATTCCCAGTCACAGGGCACATGCCTGGGTTGCAGGCCAGTTCCTAGCAAGGGCCAGTTCCCAGCAGGGGACACACCGGAAGCAACCATACATTGATGTTTCTCCTCCTCTCTCCTTCCCTTCCCTTCTAAAGATAAATAAATAAAATTTTTAAAAAGTCTATTCATTAAAAAATAATAATAATTTCATGTTCATTAAAAGAGGGAAAGGAAAATTGGATGTCACCTACAGAGCTATATATAAGATATAGTTTCTTAACCACAACAGCTGAAAACATTAAAAAGCTCTCACCCACCATAATCTTGCCTGCTCCTCAGATTATCTGTGATATTTTATAATGGTCCCTTCCCAGTTCAAAATGGTTATAAATAATGCATTATTGTGTGTAAAAGATGATAAAATCTGATGTTATTTTTAATTGTCAGAGCTCATGAATATGAAATAAGAATATCCGTTTATAAGTTTCTTAAAATAAGGCCAATAAAAGATTCATTCGGGTTTTCTAAAGCTGAGGGTAGTGCTCAGAGAAAACTGCATTAAGACGCAGGGCACAGAGGAAAGAGAAGTTGGTGGGGGAAGGAGCAGGAAGTGACAGCCCTGTGAACTATTCCACAGATTGAGGGACAAAAGCCACCAGTTTGCAGTGGCAACACTGACCACCTGACCGTGGAGTTCCCAAGGAATGTCCCTGCATAAGCTCCCAGCACTCAGAGCTTTCTTGCTTCATGTAGAGAACGCCTTCCTTCTAGGTGTGGAGTGAGCTCAGCACCGATTATCCCCACTCCCAACCTTCACTTTAGCCTTTCCACCCAAAGGGGAGGGACAAAGCTACAAAGATGCTTTCTCAACCAGAAATCTCTGCTTTTGTTCTCGGTTCACTCTTAACTTGGGCAAAACTGGTAAGGAAGCTTCTTTAATGGATTTAAATTCTATAGTAAACTCAATGCATGGTCATAGATGTGTGGATTTTTCTGCTCTCTTATCTAATAGGAGAAACTTTACCTTTGGGCGATGGAGGGCTTTAAGTATAAGTTTGGTACCAGAGTGTGGTGTAGTGCCAGCAAAACGAAAGCACCACCCCCCCAGCCAGTCCTGCCCCATCTCTTGTGTGGAAAAGTTACTTATCTTTGTTCATAGGATTGTGATTTGATTAGCTCTTGCCTTAGTTTTTTTCATGGACTTGCCAGGCTCACCCACTCTCTCTGGATAAGGTACCTCTTGGAGATACGGAACCTGAGGGAAGAAAGGTAGATTTTTGTGCTGGTAGCTCACCAGTACTATGTGAATCAAACAGGTAATGATGGTGACTGCAATAGCAGTAGCAGTAGCAGTGAGTTCTAAGCAGCCACAGGCAATGCAGAACCACACAAATGCTCAATGGCTGTGTACATTCATGAATAATAAATTTAAAATTTTAAACAACCTGATAATAGAGAAATGTTTTTTAATGGGCTATGGATATATACATTCAGATGTTTTATAGAAGGCAGGTTATAAATGCCCAGGTGATTTTTGTTAGGATAGGAAGGTGGTGCTCTGGAGTGAGGTTGGTTAAATTGCCTTTTGATCCATTAAGCATATGGTTTTCTTGAAAAGGGTTCAGATAGAATTAAAAACAACGTGCGTATGAATATTCCTTAGGGTTGGAAGTAATTTCACACATGGGTTCATTACTATGCACTGACCATCCAGAAAGTGGGGTTTAAATCCTGTCTTTACAGGATCCTTAAATTATGCTGCTAAAAGTGTTATAGCCTTTTCTGCAATTGATCTGAAATGGATAAGCCATCGCCGGAGGCTGTTCAGCAATGGGAATTATGTGTTTGGATGCCAGCTAGGCAGAGTAGATGTACCACCAAACCTTACTTTTCCTCCCGGTGATTATTTCCCTCTATCTTTGTCCATGCATCGGGTGGGAGGGGGACGGTGTCACTAGACCTTGGTTTGGAATTGCTGAAGCAAAACAAATGAAAAACAGTGAATTGAATCTTCTTGTATAAACTGTTCAATGAGATCATTTGAACTATCTCTTTACCCTTTAAGAGCAGTCTGCAAGTGCATTATTGAATTAAATGCTAAAACCAAACCACCACGTACCTGCTACTCTGCAGACAGCCAGTGCATGAGTTTCTTAAAATGCATTGCTGATAGGTTTAACTTAGGCCAAAGAATTTTTCTGTATTTTATTTCTTATTGGGAGCACATCAACCTTTGACTAATGACCTAAGGCTTCCCTTTGGCTTCATTTCCTCTTTGATTCTGTTTATTCCCCATCAAATGTAACGCCATTCTCACTGCTCTGGCCTCGGTCTGACAGGTCCTTCCTTCTGTCCTTTCTTCTTTCCTTCCTTCCTGCAAGGTTACATTTTAACTGTTGTCCATAGATGTTTATCTCAAGAATTTGCCCTGAAATTTAATCTTTAATATATGCTACCTGTGTGGTCTAAATAGTCATTCAGCACATAGGCCTAAATCAAATAATGTGCACTTTTTTCCAAGGCAAAAGGCCTATTCTTACTGATATCTACTGAAACCAAATTTTGAGTTTCTCTTTTTTTTTCTTAATAGAAATTTAACTGTGGACCCAGAGGTGAAAATGTGAACTTTAAATTTTAAGATAGCATAAAAACAGGGTGGAGAGGAGTAGAGCGAACTCCATGTCCCAAAGTTCAGGGTGGTCCAAGGTGGTCCAGAGTGAAGCTTCGGTTGGTGTCACTGAACCAAATGCCAGTCTGGCCCATGCTAGTGCTGAGCTCAGAAACCTGTTCTCAGTGGGTGTAGACTGCATTCACTCTGGGGTCTGCCCAAATCAGGATTTTGGTTTTTAAAAATGATTTTTAAAAAATTGCTTTGAGATGAAATTTAGAGGATACCAAATAAAGAGACCTTCCCCAAAGATTTCCCTTCCCCTTAATTCCCTCTTTTATTCCTTTTATTTCCCATCAAATGCAACTCCAAGACACATGGAGGTACTGCCCTCACTGCTCTGGCACGCTGCCTTCATTTGTCCAGGTGGCCAGGAACCCTGATCTGGCCCAGGTCACTTGGCAATGTGACGAGTAGAGAGGCTTCCTGTTACCTGTGACTGAGCTCTGGCCAGTGTCGTCAGGTGGCCACTCTGACCCTGTTTATTGCTTTCTTCCTGTGCAGAAATGATGTGTTTGTGATGACATCCAATTTTAACTCCGTGATCTCTTTTGGGATTCTGTAGGGGCAGCTTTCTACTTTTCATATCTCTTCCTTCCTTCCTTCCTTCCTTCCTTCCTTCCTTCCTTCCTTCCTTCCTTCCTTCCTTCCTTCCTTCCTTCCTTCCTTCCTTCCTCCTTTCTTTCCTAATATAAACAAAAAACAAATCAACAAGA